TTTCTAATTAAACTAATTTTATTATCAAAATATTAACCTCGTGGGAGATTTATGTAATTCTACAAATTTTAAGGAAAGCTTGTGAAATTATTAGAAATCTCAGGGAAGGTTTATGAAATTATCCCTTATTATATGGATAATTACACCAATCGTCCCTTACATATGGTTGATGTGAAAATTTAGTCTTTCAAAATGAAAATGATCAATTTTAATCTCTAATAAATAATAAATGATCACCTTTGATCTATTTTCACTTTTTCGAGCGAATTTTAGCCAAAACTTATTAGGCTTACATGGCGTGTCTAATTTTTAAAGAGTAAATATGGCAAATCAACTTGATCAGAAATGTGAGGGACTAATGGTGCAAATCTTTAGTTAAATATTCATCAAAATACACAAAAACAAACCCATCATTACTTGCAAATCTTCAATTCATCTCAACCCAAAATTAACCCTATTTGCAAACTCCTCTTAGTTGATTGAAATTCATTCGAAGGAAATTGGTGATTGAAGACAATAAAATAACAAGCAAATGTACTATAAAAGATAAATGTAAAAAAAGAAAAGAGAAAAGAAAGGTAATCCGTAGATGGTACATGAAGTAGGCAAGCATAGTAAAGCATATTCCCTGGAGTCTAGAGACATCAGAAGTTTCTACATTATCTAATTTTCGTCTTACGAACCTAACATAGTAACCTGCTAGAAGCTTCTTGAACCATACTCTACCGCCCCATTTCTAATTTCCCCTAATCTTCTTCTTAAACTCTCCGCCTATGTTATCCCTTTTTTTCATATTTTGCTTCCTAACACTAATCACATACAATTTCTAACCAGCCGGACATTTCACTCAAGCATTTTATGAGCACTTGCAATAATGGCCGACGATGGTGCTGTCACGGTCTACAGTGGTAGTGCAATTACTGAAGTCTAGAAGAACCCATTCTCCATCAAAGTTAGGATGGCCTAAATGCTGGAGAGTGGAGAAATTGTCGAAGTTACATCCGTTGATCAAGCCAAGATCACCAAGTTTGTTTGCGGTTGTTTCATCATTGTCTCTGAACCCAACACATCTAGCATTTCAATCAGCAATTTCCTTCAGATGAATTTCAATCAATTGTTGGGAGTTTGCAATTAGGGTTGTAATGGGTGGAGATGAATTGTTAGTAATGGTGGCTTAGTTATGTGTTTTTTGATGAATGTTTAACTATAACTTTGCACCGTTAGTCCCCTCACATTTCTAGTCAAGGTGATTTGCCATTCTTATCTTTTAAAAATTGGCCACATCATGTGGATCCAATAAGTTTCAACTAAAATTCGTTCGGAAAAGTGAAAATGGACTGAAGGTGATATTTTTTGTTTGTTAGAGACTAAAATTAATCATTTTCATTTTGAGAGACTAAATTTTCGCATCAGGGATATGTGAGGGACGGTTGGTCTAATTCTCCCCTTATTATAATAGGTTGTGAAGATTAGGTTCTTTCATTTCAAACCAAATGTATCTATTTGACAGTATTTCCAGCTGTCAAATTGTGCAGCAAATTGATAGATCAGTTCATTACACATACAGAATCACAGCAATCAATATGCTACTTGGTTCCAAAATTCAGGTGCTCTGATAAATAAATGGATAAATATACCAAATGGTGATAAGTATTTGGGAGTTACATGGTATAAAATCCATTCCTAACAACAATGTAGAAGATGTCAGCTGTGATAACTGAAGCATTATTCCAAGCAAAAACATCTAAATGGAATGCAAGACACATATATAAGTTCAACAAAACATAAGCTTTGCATCTGTTTGGCCTTGTCTATTCTCGACAGTATTCAAAAGATTTGCAATATCACTAATGCAACTTGAAAGAGTAGCATAGATAAGGAAAGATCAGACAAGTTTTTTTTTTGCTGCTGCCAGAGTCATCCACTTCTGTAGGTTCTTCTTCTATCTCTCCAGCATCTCTAAACCTTTTTGTGAGACGAACTCGTGGTTTCGAAGAAAATCGTTGTCTCTCTAGAACGAGAGCAATGTTAATAAATCGAACAAGAGGAATGGAAAGCAAAATTATTAAAAAAAAATCTGAAGAACCAACTTCTGAGTTCTGTTCTTCAGCTTGGAGAAACTGATTCTAAACATTGATGCAGGAATCTTTGTTGAAAGAAGATGTTCCTGCATTTTCTTCACAGTAATAAGCAATTGTGTAACGGCGATTTCCACTACCATCCTTAGTATTTCCTGATTTCAGCTGGGCAATGAACATATTTTCTTTAACCTCTCTATGCACATCTTCCAGTGGAAGTTCTTCATTCTGTTAAATAACTCCATAAACTTGCATTAGCATGATAATCTATATATATCTAATACAGAGCTATTCAAAGCTATTTGTAATTCCGACCTTGTTATAACGCTTCGGCACTTCAAGTGAAGTGAATTCAAGCAGCGACTCCGCTGGCTCGCCAAATATTGAAGCTGTGACCGTGTCAGTTTCATCAGTGAGATCAACATCAAAACGACATCTGCATCAATATGTACTTCAGAAATAAGTCAGTAAATTCAAGAAAATCAATGTTATGTAGAACAATAACAGCTTATGAACAAAGCGCTAATTTCTTTGGTACAACGCTCTGTTTCTCATTGCAGTGGTTGCATGTATAAACTAAATCATAGTTTGCTGATGTCATTCGGCAACATTTGATACAAGACATATACCAATACTTTTGTAGTATATGTTTAAAAGAAAAGCAAGCCTTAACCCATGACATCTGCAGAAATTTTTAAACAGATTACAGGAACATTTAGATATATATAAATGTATAAACAGATCAAGAAAATAACACAGTTGTATCATTTAAAGAATTGAATCTAGCAGTAAACAAGTCATGACCTTTTGAGCTGGTGTAATATCCACAAGTGAGGTAATTTTGTGGTTTCGATCATAAAACATTTTGGGACTATAATTGCTGTATGACTTGTTTTGAACAAGAGTAGAGAAACTCTTTTCATTTCTGACAGCCCTATAAATTTCATTGCAGAATAAATGCAGCAATGAATGTCAAGTAACCTATCCCAGTTAGAAAGCAAAAAAAAAGGAAAATTAAACAATAAACATTGCAAGACCAGTGTTTGATTTGGTTGGCATCTCTAACTAGTGGATTGACAAGAATAACTGAATCATTTCTTGTTGATAGGGCAATTCCTGATAGGTAGATACAATTAGAATAGGAATCAATAAACATACATAGAATTAAATTATCAAGAACCTAACCTCTATTAGGCCTCACCTCCATAAGTAACAACCTTGAGTCTGTGACCTATCACAATCGGATACTTGTCCTTCTATTCAGTGATAGTCCTACCCTCATTTTCAATGAAATCATTCCAAATAGATAATATGATTGGATTCATCCTACATACGAAATAGTAAAATGTAACCTTTTAAATTGTTTTCATAGCACATAAGTTTGAGGACATAATTGTATGTAGTGTAAAACAGAAAATAATTGGAAAAACGTCCATACTCCTCATTGATAATAACAAATCTCTGCACAAATAATTCCTTTGAGTCTTTGTTGATTGGGATGACAAAAAAGACATCAATAACAGTACCAAGAACATCTGTAATATGAACAAAGATAGTAGTAAAGGTAGACAAAGTATCACAAATGAAAGCATACATATTTATTGACCAGCAGTTTAAATCAGAGATCTATAAATCACAGCATAAAAATCCAATGAACAGTAGATTAAAGGCCAAACTGACCAACAGTTTCAGTCTTTGAATCTGCATAACGAGCAAATTCCTTAAATGGTGTGAGTGTGAATTGAAACGGCAAGATACTGTTTTCTTCACTTTCAATTTCCTCAACAACAATCTGTGTTCCTATAACCCATTGCATCTCAATACCATCAGTCTTTATTTTCTCTGAAATTTTCTTCACTTCAGCATTTGAGATACGATATTTCCTGTAAAGTTGCAATTTTGGCCCTATTTTTTCAATAGCATAGTTAAAAAGAATTCCTTGAACTCTTGAACCCTGTGTCAAACGCCAATTTATATAAACAGAGACTGGCCAATTATAAATAAAACGTATAATGATAATGGTTAAGGGTGAACATAGACAATGGTCAGGTTAAACTGAAAGATAGTGAATAGAAATATACCTTTGAGTCAACAAAAATAAGTCTCTGGAATCTGGTTGGTGTGGAAGTTGAAGAGCCTTGGTTCAACTTTTCCTGAACTATTACTTCAGCTGTCCAAGACTTCATTCCAGGCACAATATCATCAATATACAATGCATTTGCCATCCTGGAATAAGCAAGGAAATAAAACTAATAAATTTGTCAAGCTAAAGAGGAATGACACAAAAAAGGCTGCATAAAAGGACAATTCATATAATATTACAGTTACACACGAGCACTATGTATACCTCAAAATTTAAGATTTATTTCTTAGACAAACGAAAATTTTCATGGAATACAACATTTCTTGTCTTGAATTCAGTTACAATATCACTGAATGTTCTTGGTAATATTAAAACTCTAACAGAAGATGATGTTCTAGCACGAGAGAGCGCAACATATAGCTGGCTATGTGAGAACATAGGTTCTCGTAAATAAACTCCAACACGATCCAAGGTTTGTCCCTGCGATTTGTTAATCGTCATAGCAAAGCAAAGTCTGATGAAAAACTAAGTTCACTTAAAAGGAACCCCATTCTTTTCATTGTCTGATGTTTGGAGAGGAATCCTTGGTAAAAGAACCATTTTTCCTCAATGCTGACCAACTGCAATCTCTGCACAAATGGCATGCTGCTTTAGCTGTCTACATATAAGTAGCGTTCCATTGCATAAGCCTTCTGCAGGATTTAAATTCCTAAGAAGAATAATAGGGCAACCTCCTTTTAGCACCAATTTATGAGGGGGTAGACCCTTGGGATTCAAAGAGTTTAAAAAGTCTTTGTAGTCAGATTGATCCCTCTCATTAATGGTTCGATCAATGCTCATTACACAAAAGGTTGTCCAGGAAAGCGATCAATTATCATCTCATTTATATCATCGACACATGTATTCTTTGAAGTAAGAATACATCTGTTTGTGATCTGGTATGGATCAGATGAATACACGCTCAAATCCAAAAATCCAAAATCCATTAACCTAGTTAACAAATATTTTAGTTAAGATAAGACCATTTAATAAATCCGATGTACAACAACAAAGTAACTACGGAGTTTGAAAGAAAAAATGAATTTTGACCTGTTTAGTGAATCTACTTTGTTATCAAACGGGATTGATATATCCTTTGATAGAGTTATTTTTCCATCTTCGTCTTTTTGTTTACAACCTTCGCCTATCCTAAGCAGGAAATCAGAGCAGTGGCTATCAGAGATATCTCTCATGTTTTCAGTTAAGATTAACTTCCGAAGAGTACTCCATAAAGGTGAGTTGACAGAGCTGGCTTCTATCTGCTGATCCTTTGTTGCATTCTGAATAACAGGTAAAGTTTGATGAAAGTCTCCTCCAAATACTACTACTTTGCCGCCAAAAGGCAGATTAGAATCCATTACATCTCTGAGCAACCTGTCAAATACTTCAATAGTGTCCCTCTTGGCCATAGAAACTTCATCCCATAGAATTAATTTAGCCATTATAATAAGCTTAGCAACAGAGCTCTGTTTGCTGATATGGCAGACTTTACTTGCAAAAATGTCCAACGAAATTTTAAACCTTGAGTGTGCGGTCATCTCTCCTGGAATAATAGATGCAGCTACTCCAGATGATGCAACAACTATTGTTATGAACCCTTGGGATCTAAGCGTTGCTAGAATAGAGCGATAAAGAAAGGTCTTACTAGTTCCGCCGGGTCCATCAACAAAAAAACTACTATTTCCAGAAGAGAAAACCTCTTGTAGAATAACGTCATAGGCATATCTTTGGCCTATATTTAGCTTTGAAGGCAATAGCAAGTCTTGCTCTGTAAACTGAATCCTTAGCTCACTCCAAATTTCTCTTGTGAGGCGCTCATCATGACTGAGAATGAAACCATCAGGTACTAAGTGGTAGTCATTGACATTTTTTCCATTTGTTTCAAGGATTTATTTATATCTAGCAAAACACATCTTCTTATTTGTTCAACATTTTAAGCAGAAAAACTCTTACCTCTCTCAAAATCCCTTGACATCTTAGCTTCATATTTTTCCCAGATGACTCTAGGATTGCTTGGCGAACAATAGGCTAACAAGATTGCAAAGAGAGTTCTCAATGAAGAAAACATCTGAAAGGCCGCTGCTTCATTAAGCGTGTCTTCCAGATGTGTGTCAGATTGAAGCAGTCCCATTTGGAAGGCAGCTTTTTTATAGGAGAGCATAAGTTTTCCATTAACAGTCAAGAGATCTTCAAAACACGTGGGAGCACGAACGTGAGATAAGAGAAGTCGCAAGTACTAGCGCTCTTCCTCATTTGGAGCAACAGTCACAACACGACCAATGACTCTTTTTCTCTTCCGTTCAGTCCATCTCTTCTTAGCAGGCTTCCAGACAAAAAATTTTGGGAATTCACGGTATAGGCATTTAAGACTTTGAGCTCTTTTGTTGGTTTTATTCATGTGAAAAAACTCTGTCAGTATTGTCTTGGAAAAATCGGCTTGATCTAAGAGATCAACAAGATTTGTACTTTTATGAAAAGAGATCATTTGTTGACCTGGAAGATGTAATTGAAGAGTATACACAGCAGGAGTCATTTCATTCAGATTAAACCTATAAATGCGCCAAAAAGCTTCAACAGCCGCTACCCACATCCCAGCCTGAAAATTCTTTATTTCATCTATGTCGTCAGGGTTATTTTCTGAATAAATGTTGAAGCAAACATGATCGTGATCCTTATAGACATATTTATACAAATACTTGACCAGCTTAACCGTCGAATAGATTTCGATGTTCATGTGACAGTCAAAGAGAGCAAGAAGGTACAGGTTATATGGCATAACTCATCAATTGTCTAGGTTGCTATTGTGCACCCTTACAAATCGACCATTATTTCGCCTTCTATAGTGCGGGTAGCTATTCTCAGTATGGACCGTGAATTCACTAAAATTCTTTGGATAATGATTTTTATAAATGCCATCTTTTATGCAAATATTGTCCTTATTCAAAACTCCACATGGTCCATGCATCATATGCTTGATCACAAGATTATACAAATAGCTCTGCTTTTCCGGATCTGGAATCTCGACAGACACAATACGATCAAAAGCATCAGAGTTCAATGGTTTAAATTTAGGTTTATGGATGACCAAGAGGTGAGCATGAGGCAGACCCTTTTTTTGGAACTCAATCACATGAACACACGCAGCTACATCCCCAAAAATCTTTTTTTTTTTTCACTATTTCAGCTTTGAGTAGCTCAAACTTTGCTCTAAAAACTCTTGACACTAAGTCAGGCCTATCCTGTGCATCCTCTCCATATTTAAGATATTCTTGGATTTCTCTCCACTGCATATTACATGTCATGGTAATAAAAAGATCTGACCTACCAAATTTCTGGACTAATACCATCGCATTAACATATCTGCGGCGCATGTCCCTTGGACCACCAATGAAATAAGCTGGGAGATAAACTCAACAACCAATATTTTTCTTCAGTCTGACCAGCAGATAGACTTTCCATTACACCATGTAGAATCTCAGTCTTAATATTAGTTTGGTTCTTTCTATGGAAGTCAAGCCTAAACGTTTCAATCTTCACGTAAATATCAACAGCAAATTGCTGTAACAGTCTCCTTGTGTGCAACAACATTGATCTATCGTTTTCTCTCATCTGAAGTAAGTAACAGTAGCACTCTTTTGCAGAAATAGTATCACGCTGTTTTTTTCCACTTTCAGCAGCTACACAACAAGCACGAACAAGGAAAAAGTGGAATAAGAGACTTATCTAACATTCTATATAACACGTGGGTGGCAAGAAAAAAATCAGGAACACACTAAGAAGACTTGCCTTCGTGTTCCTGTTGAATTAAGCCTAATGCACTCTCAATTAAGAAAAAATTAGGCACAACATCATCATCATTGTCAGCCTCTTTATTTTCTTCATTAGGATCAGTACTTTTTTGGATGCTATAATGCCAACTAGGCTCACCCCGAGGAAATAAGAGAGGGTACTATAACGGATCGTAGCACGCAAAATAATGTGATATCCTATGAGGCACATTTGAGTGTGTATAAACCTGAATATGAGCACCTTTTTCAAGCGCTTCATCCTCATTCTTTGTCCAAATGGCAGTAACTTGGGATAAAGCAGGCAAATTATACACACGCTGATCCAGCTGAGGATCAGAGTTGAGAACAATCCTATGATTGTCTAGATCAGGAACATCTCGAAGACCTTTGAAAAATTTAGTGTATGGATTAGTCTCAAGAATACGCATCAACAATTTGAGGGTGCTTTCACGTAGTCTAGGCGAACCAGCGACTCTTTTTGATAACTCCTCTTCCTGATCGTAGAAATATAGCTAGACACCAGTAGCTTGATCAGTGGGAGAGACCAAACTGTTCAATAAATGGTACACTTGGCCTTGCACCCGAAAAGTATAAACACCCTTGGTATTCTTTGTTAAGGCACGATCATATTTGACGCCAAATGATGTGAAAGCCAAATTATTGTTATAGGTTCGAAGCCATTTTCGAAACTCAACACACTCCTTGTCAATACCAGTGTAAAGATGAAAGGGTTCGTAAGGCATTGTCGGACAAACTACAAAAATCTCCCCCCCACGACAACAAAATTTGGGTGGTTCCAAGGTAAACCTCTTTGTTCCACAGTGCTCACTGTCAGGAACACTGGGCAGGACAAGAGGAACTAAAAAAAGACAGGACACCAATCTTAGCTAAAGTAACCAGAACAGAAATATACAAAAGAAATGATGATTTGGGATCAACTATAGAAAATTTTGGCGTAAGAGACAATGAAGGAACAACAGTAGTGCACGAGAGAGTGAGTTACAAATTATCGGAGAGATAAGAACAGAGAAATCTATATAAGTGATTAAAAAGAAGTGATGTATAAAAGCAGCCCCAATCAGAATTTGGCCAGAGGGATAAATAAATATATAAAAGTACTAGCAATGGATAATAATAAGAGAAAAATAACTCTATAGCTCAGGAATCTACTCTCATAAATAATATACCTCCTAGCGGTGAAGGCACAGCAGAAGAACTGACAGGTAATGAGCTTTCAGGAGGTAAGTTTTGGCTTCTCATATCAGAAGCTAATTGCTCAGAAATACCATCAAATGCATCAGCTAATTCATCACTACCCATTATATTCTGAACATCCATATTAGGTATTTCATAGGCTGCAAAGGGTGTATCTGCCTGAAAAGAGGTAGTCTTGGAACCATCTGAACAACGGCCACACATAGACTTATTTTTGTCTAACTATTGCACAACAAAGGTGGGAGCAAGCGGACTACTCTATTTTTTTGTAGCATAGGAAGCCCTCCTACAGCAATTTAATGCATCTTTCTTCTCTTGATCCATAACAGCGTATCACATACGCCGTTTTAAGTTGTAATCCATTCAGCCAAGAAGTAAATGCTATATGATGATCAACATAAAAGGCATTGATATTAACAGTTAAGCTCACAAAAAATTTCAAACCATGTTATAACATGGACCAAAAACTTCACAACAGATAGTAAGCATGTTAAAACAAAAGGTAGAGAAAAACAGTACACATAAAGAAGAAACCAATGCAGGAAAAGCAAAAATAAGAAAAGGACGACTAAAAAGAATAATAAAAATTTGGGAGACATACAAACTTCAAGATTCAAAGGTCAGCAGATCAAGAACAGAAAAAAAAATGGTCTGTAAATGTAGAAGTTTACCTGGAAACAAAGCACCAAATGCAGGTTCAAGGAAAGCGTAGCCCAAGAAGAAACTCTTGCCAAAAAGAACAAGATAACTTGAAAGAAGAGTAAATATAATTCTTTCAGAACTAAAAATGTTATGAGAAACCCAAAAAATGAAAACAGAATAGCTATTGCTTCGGAAAAGGGCCAATGGCTTACGAGTGTATAAGTTTATCTGAGAACAAAGTAGCCAATGCAGGTTGAAGGGAAGGGCAGTTAAAGAAGAAACCCACGTAAAAAAGAACAAGGTAACTTGAAAGACAGTAAACATATATTTTTTTACAACGTTAACGTTCAAGCAAACAAAATGCTACATCAGTCTACCTTACACATTACATGCATCTAACAAACACATGGCGTGTAAGATAACACTAGCTTGGCTACGTACAATGCTGGTGCAGTGTGTACAGATAAAGAACAAACAATAAGAGGAGAACCAAAAAAAATACCTGGAAAGCTTAACATAGAGGACAGATGTTTAGAGCAAGGCACCAGTTGCGAGAATACAATGGAAGAGCACAACTAAACAAAAACATGTGATAAACAAAAGAAGACTTAAGCTGAGCAAAAATTTTGAAGAGCTAGAAGCACATTGACCAAGAAAATGAGACGTTGTTAATGGACAATGCTGCAGCATTGGAGAATCGAGCGGTATTTTTGAAAAGATAGCCGAGAAAGAACGGTTCTATTCCATAGTCTAAAAGATTGTAAGCTACTGGATTTTGTTGATCACACGAATTTTGAGATAGCACAAAAATTGCTAAGTTTCGATACTAGAGAACCTGGATAAAATCACAGTATCCTTAACTAAGGTGAAAGCAAACGCATCCGTAAGGGAAAAACTATTGGCAAGGAACAGACATAATGTAAAAAAAATTAATAATATCAACAGAATACCAAAATGTGCAAGTGAAAGAGTAATATTTATTAGAAATAATAAATTCAATAGATAGGAAAAAAATTAGTATAGAGTAATAAAGGATATTGCAATTAAAGAAAGAGTAAAAAAGGTTAGTTCTCAAGCAGACGTTAGACATAAAGGGCAACACTAAAGAAACTGAAAAATTAGACACTTCTATGACTAAACTACAAAATATGACAAATAAAATTAGTAATGAAAGACAATTAGATCGTTATAATGTTCACATATAAAACAAGGATGGCGACGAAAAAATGTATGTGTTTATTTTTCAGCAAAATTACAAATGTATACGAGAAATTATAGCCACGATACAAAAGAGAAAATCAATAAAAAGTTATTACGGATAAAACTATGATTAGGCAAAAATTGCTTGGCAGACAATAAAAAAAAACTTTTATGGAGGAAAAAATGTTATAGGCAAAGTACATATATGATACCCTTCTATTTAATTTAAAGAGCCAAACAACGAGAAAACCAAAAAAAATGTTAACAAGATCCATTGAATATTGAG